ATGGGTTACAATGATGTTCTCACCACTATAACCAAGGTCAAGAAGTTGTGCCTTCCTCCACAGTGAAATGGGTTATTTACTCTTCTTTTTAAAGGGTTTTCTGAACGGGCTGCTGGCTCCGACGGTGCAAGTAAAGCTTTCATGAACATCATCTATGGTACTTACCATGGGATCAACACTGATTAGGGGTCGATTCTCTGGACTCAGTTGGTTCAAAGCCTCAAGTCATCCTCATTTCACACCGAAATCTCTTGTGGGTGTTTTTGGACGATTATTACCCAACGAGTAATGGATAAGTTCATTGTCCCAGTCATGGAAGACTCCTTGATGTCAACTGTTGCCACCTTCCACACCACAAAGATTATTGTAGTTGATACTTCCAAGTTTTCCTTCATTGGTTCTATTTCGGAATCCATGTATAGGTGTGTTCCTAGTGCAAGCAAAATCAACAGTGAATACAAAAAATTGCCAGTTTCGGGTCCAATGCCTCTTACTCCTGATATGCAACGTTCGGTTGATGAAGCTGACAAACCAGCCAAGAGAGGAAATAAAGGAGACAAGAAGAAGGAAGTACAAGAAGGACCTTCGGCTAAGCCTGTGACTCCAAAGAAGCGAAATGGTCATGGTGCAGAGCCTTCGGTTCCAAAGAAGAAAAAGCTCAGGAAGATGACTCTCAAACTGAAAGCTCCATCCTCAAGCGATAGCGATTATGTTCCCTCTGATCAAGAAGTTGAGGTTGACCGGGAGAAAGAGCATGAACAGTCTGAGGATTCGGTTCACGAAGACTCACCTGAGGTAAGATTTACTGAAACCGTTCCATCTCCACCTCCTTCTCCTCATAACACTATTGTTCCCATATCTATTGCTCCTTGCCCTCCTCCAACCTCTTCTCAAACCCCCACTTCTATACCAATTCCTCCACCACTATTTACTGAAACCACTACCACGACCACAACTACTACCAGCACTACAACTACAACCAAACCACCAGTTAATGTCAATGCATCTGATGCGGGGGCACAAGCTTCTGGTTTTGAAATACTTGTTTCTTCCAAACCACTTTCCCCTACTCACACCGATAAGTATGACACCGTTCTCGGTGGTAATGGAGCTGAGTTTGACACCACTTATTATAGCCCCTTTTCGGTTCAATCCGACAGTGACGATGATGCTCCTGTTACAAAGAGGCATCTCAAGGCTCTTAATGAGAAACTTGATTATTTGGTTGCCTCTTCATCCCAATCTGCTTCTGTATATTCTGAGGCTGCTCTCAAAGCTATGATGGCCACATTCGTCAAGGAACATCAAGACTCCATCGATAAAGCCATTGCAGCTGTGGAAGCCTCTACTGCCTCATGCAAACAAGCGACCGAAAATGTCGAAAAACTAATCTCTGATGCTACCGTCTTTCTGGAGTCTCTTCAGGCTGCCGCGCTAACCAATGCTGTTACCGTCAACGCCACTGTTGAGAAACTCGAAACATCGCTCCAAGCTGAAAGGAGCATTTCGAAACAATACGCCAAAGCCTTCAGTCCGACAAACAAAGAGCTCCAAACTTCTGTTAATTCTCGACTTGACAAACTCCAGGCTGACTTAGCCTTGGAAAACAAGATCATGGATGATTTGTCTCTTCGCACCACACAACTCAAGACTCAAACTCTCAAGCTCAAACAAGCGAACAAAACTATTGATGAGCTCAAGTCTGAAAATGCGGTAATGAAAACGTGTGTTGGTGATGTCAGTTCGCTTCTCACAAATATGCTTGATGCTCATGACTCTATTCTCACCATCAGTGTCTGTCGACACTTTGCAGATAAGCTTCGTCCTGCCCTTGAGATCTTGCACCGCTTAGAGGGTGTTTCTGAGGATGGTGCTCCTTCAAAACAAGGGGAGAAGTTAGTCAAGAACAACCTACTCAACCTCCTCCAACTCAAACTACAACAACCGAAACAACTCTCACTCCTCCCAAACCGAAAGTCACCAAAGAACCGAAGGGTAATGAAGCTTCGGGTTCAAATGTGAAAGAAAAAGGCAAGAAGATAATTGGGGAAAGCGAAGAAGAAGAAGAAGAACAAACCGAAGAAGAAGCTTTAAAAAGAAAACATCGTGACCGAGAGCTTGATGAAAATGCTCGGATTGCGAGGGAAGAAGAAGAGAGGGAAAGAAGAGAAAAAGAAGCTCACGACGCATTGGAAAGTAGAAAAACTCTATTTCCTTTGTGGACGTTGGAGAAATTGATAAAGGAAGCAATAGATTCTCCCAGTACTCATTGGCTTGAACCAGTCATTTCCTTTGACCTGGAGAATTCTAAAGACTCACAATTTGACATGCCGATCACTCGAAGTGCATTTTTTTCACTGCTTTGAGCCTATTGCTGCCATTCCCTCTCCAGACCCGAAGGTTGATAGAGAATTGCTTGATTACTATCTTGCTTTCTCACAACCCCAATACTTGACCTGGAGCGCTCAGAAAATTACTACGGTCAAAGTGTTGAAACTAGTCTCGACAAGAAACTTTATCAACGTGAAGTTCAGGGTGACCCGAGGTTTTGATAACTCAGTTCATATGATTTCTCTTGCTGATCTATCAAACCTGAACCCGCATGATTGGATCGTACTAACGAATATTCTGCTGACTGACGAACAGAAGTACGAACCCATTCTCGCTCATATCAAGCGAATATTGGTCTCGTATATAAATGAAGTTTCCAAGCTGGATCAAGAGATCACCTCTGCCTTACGGAAGAAGCCCATTGTTCAGCCAATTGGGAAGGCAAGCGACGTCAAGAAGATGCGAATGGGCGAGATAGATTCAAAGTTTCATACGGTGATGTTCACTCGAGCAGAAAATAAAAAATGCTTGTTCGCTCTGGCTAACAAACACCTGTTCTGCACAACATGTTTGGAGCATATCTTGGACATCATACACAGGTGCAAACATAACAGTGATGCTGACAAGAAGAACTTCACGGACATGCTTCGGTGGTACATCAACTTCCGTCATACACTTCTTGCTATGATACCGAAGCTGTTCAAGACTGTAAAGAAGGTTCAGCTTGCAAAGCCGAAATAGTTCTCTCGCCTCAATTGACCCAAAGGGGGAGAATGTTGGGTTTAATATGTTGCGTCATTGGGCCTATGGTTTGGTCCACTATAGTCACGGTACTGGGCCTGTCCAGCCGTGTTTTGTTTATTAGGGTTAGAGTATAAATGGTGCATGCATGCATCATATTAATTAAGCTTTTTCATAATTATTACCTGAATCGTATTGTAACCCTAGCACACCTCTACAATAGAAATTCTTCATAAAGTTTTTCTGAGGTTGTGGCATATTAATCATTAGACATTCTTTTGATTCATCGTGTGTTATTTAATTTGTGTTGTTGATTTACTTGTTAAGAATCTTATCGATCTCAAGTACTTAATTTTCATCAATTATCACACATTCTCACTAATTAAATCGTCTATAAAGTTATTATAGACTTATTATTATTATTCTTATTCTGTCAGAATATTGTCAGAATGTTTATTGAGTCGTATTATGTCAGAATGAAAATAAGTGAAAAATGATGTGTGATAACAAAAATGAATAAGAATTAGTGAGAATGCATGAAAATAACGATATTTTTGTAAGGTAGAACGTATTCGCATTATTAAACAACTTATTCTCTTAGTAATTGTCACAGAATAGCAATGTGCACACGTCCACACAATAATTGTCCATCCACATTATAACCTAGCCCTATATATATATATATATATATATATATATATATATATATATATATATATATATATATATATATATATATATATATGCATGAAAGCTATTGTAAATTGTTTTCTTGACTGTTAATAAAAGTCTTAATTTTAGAGTAATATAGTCATTTTACCATGAAATCAAAGTAGACATTTTGAGGTTAATATAGTCATTTTACATAATCATTCAGCTGGAAAATCAAACAACAAGTTCCAGTCAGAAGTTAACTCAATCAGGACTTCTAACCCAATCAGCTTTTGACCCAGTCAACTCTAACTCAGTTATCAACTATCAGCAACTACAAACGACCCTTAAGTTGATACAAAAGTCTGTAATTATTCAACCATATTATAAAATATATATCTATCATAAGCATATCATTCAATAATATTTACCTGCGATTTGCGTTTAAATAAGACTAAACTTAGTTTTTGATTTAGTATTTCAATTTAAAGTTAAGATTGATAATTTAGAAATTACGTATCTGTTGACATATTTTTAAATTACGATCATGGTTGTTAATTGGTATATGAATTATTCTTTCTAAGTTAGCTCATTATAATTTTTTTGCTAGTTATATAATAAATAATAGTTTTTGATATTTTTATTTAATTTGATTTTTTGTTCAACATTTATATTATTTAATCATTATAACGATTTTGTAAAATAGTATTTGGAAATATTTTTAAGTTAGTTTGATATTTTTATTTGATTTATGTTTTGGAATTAACATAATATTTGAATTAACAAAAAAGTGTATTATAAGTTGATGTATTAGATTTAATAACATATTTTAAATTAATAGATTACTATACTAAGTTGGAAATTTAAAGGTAATGGAGGTTTTAAATTCATTTAGTGATAGAAAAAGAAACCTACTTTATAAGATATATAAATATAGATATAGATTCTTATTTATTAAAAAAAATAGTCATTATGCTCTATAACTCTATAACTGCTTAATTAAGAAATGCTAGGTTATTGAGTAAAATGTGGATGATCTTGAATTGTGTTGATTTTTGCTAAAAAACTACCATAATGCAGACTGCAGAGGCTAGAGTTTGATCTCTTTAAATGTCATCTCTCAAGTTCACCCTTACTTCATCGAAAAATATTTATCTAGTGGCTTGATACATAATAACCATACACCAAAATCAAAATTGGAAAATTGCATTTTTCTATATAAATAAACAATAACCTTTATTTAGCATGCCATACAATATTTACATATAGGCAATTTTTCATATTGTAAATGACGGGACAATGCAGTGTCCACCTTCTGTCGTTAGAGTCGTGGAGAAAATTTGCTCCACCTTAACACCAACATTAGTTCTTTTAGCAAAACGGCCTTTGATCCTGGGCCTTATTTCAGCATATGCTTTCCTGGACTCGTACCTTGTTGTTTTCACAAATTTTCTTCTCTTTTTCTTCTCCATGTACCTGAGGACTCTCGCCTTTCTGTCTATGGGTGCCGGAATTTGGACATAAGTGCAGCCATAGCCACCGTTTGAGGTCTCATATTCCATTGCTATTTGATCAAGCTTCTGGTGCTGTAAACCGTGGTGGTGCTTCTTGGTCTCTCCAGACTGAACCGGCACTATACTATCACCATCACCACCTCCGTAGTTATACTGCCGGATATTATATAATCATCACTTAATAGAGAGTCTTGACAAGAATTATACTCAACAAGTTCCAAGTAATCGTCTCCATGATTATGATTATACTTAGAAACAATGGTTTTGTAAACACTTTATTGTTAATGAGTTGTTTTTGAAAAAATTAAATTTCTATGATTTTTGGGATGTAACAACTTCTTTACTGTACACTACTAGAAACTTGAGTTTCAGCTACGGATTTAGAGAGGGATTTATTCTGTAGCAAAATTTTGGCTTATAGAGAGGGAATTACGAGAGATCTACGATTGTTTAAACAAGTATTTTATTTATTCAACATATAGCATATTAGAGAGGGTTTAGCGAGGGTTAAGTTACGGATCTTGCAAGTCTTTATCGACGCGCCCTTATTCCTCGGTAATCGGTGGAAAACGAAGGCATTTGGCGAGGGTTCAACGAGGGAAAAAAATCGTCGGCTTTTTGCCATCTGGTATGTATTTAGCGAGAGAATGCCGACGGAGCATACACACGTTATGTTTTTTTAATTGAAGATCTCTCGCTGAAATTAGCGAACCCAATTCCAGTTTCACGAAGTTTGTGTAAGTCTCCTTCCCTCCTAAATCTGCTTTATCACTCCAATTGAACACGAAGTTTGTGTAAGTTTGACTCTTGAGTTGCAGCTTAACCTAATCTCACCCTCTCCGTTCAAACAGATGACGACACCATGGACCATTGCAGCTTCCGATTCCGACAGCCTCTACATTTTTTAAAATCTAAAATTATTATTCCTTAACTTCCGATTCAGGTAAACCTCTTGATTTTATTTGCTTTAGTCATATATTAGGTTAGGTTTGGTTCAATTGCACAATATATTACGTTAGGGTTTAATTTTTCCATTTTTTTTTTCCTTTTTCAATTGCCATTCCTCTTATATCGATTGCATCTATATTAGAATAGATACTTAGAATTAGAACTTGATATAGGGCTTTATTGGTTGCTTTAGTCATATATAAGCCTGGTAGCATAAGTTTTGTGCATCAAAGCTTCACCCTGAAGCTCTCCTGTCATCTCTGTACATGCATCCACATGCTCTACAACAAGCCCAACAGCAACAGTTTCATAGGCAATCATTGTTTGAATGGAGAAGAGTCATCACCCATCTCATCAAAAAAGAAAGTTATAAACTTGGAGGAGGCAATCTTATGCCATTGTTCAAGAAGCTCTTCTGATGTAATGGTCACTACTAGATCAATTAGCATCTCAAGCAACATGTTTCTAACAATAATGTGTTTCCCCATTGACTCTCTTAAAATCTCATTTCTTGATGTTAGCTCTGGTGGATCAAAAGTCATGATCACAAACCTAAGAACATGTTCCTAGAAGAGTGACTAACTTTTCTAACACTGGAACTTCAACATCACCCCTGTGAAGTGTCACTAACAGATGCTGAACGATGTTTATCCTTCGCAAAACTATAAGATTTAGGTTTCGATACCAATGCATTAAAACTAGATTTTCAAGAAATCCAAGAAGGGAAATTTGTATTAGAACTGTTGCTGCAAACCACAATGTCCAATCTAGTAACACATGTTCAACCATATCTGGATTTGAAACAACACAGTTTGATGTTTCTGTTGGTAAGTCAACATTCCCTAAAAAATCATCCATACCTCCATGTGAAATATATTTAGTGTTATAAAATATAAATAGTTAAATACCTTGGCTTTATCCAATAACCTTGAGAAATTAAGAGGAAACCCTGATTTTCCTTCCATTTGAGAAGGATCTCTTCCATTACCTGTGATCTCAGCTTCAAGGGTCTAAGCAGCATTACAACCAGGTTGTAACTTGAGCTTTCCTTTATTAAAATCCAATATGAAATTATCACATTTTTTATTCCATGCAGACATAATTCTATTTGTGTTTTCATTCAAATTATCCCTAGGTTGACTATTGTGAATGTAGATATATCCATCATTAGGGCACATAGTTTCATAAGCTTTGACTCTTTTTCCACTTGGCTTTGTGTAACTCTTTTCAGTAACAGTAAGATTCAGATAAACTCTCATATATTTAAAAGGATATAGAGAGAGAGGGAGAAAAGACAAACATCATTAGGGCACATAGTTTCATAAGGTTCTCTCGTGTCTTTCTTGTGCTGATCTTAGTTCCCATTCATGTGTTATGTGTATATCAAAATAAAACAAAATTACAATAAAAAAAAGTAACAGGTTTCTTTTTTGACTTAAGGGGCTAAGCAATTAAACAGGACAGTTATATATAATAAGAAGTCAGAATCATGTCCGACTCAATTTGGCTTGAACCAAAGCCATGGAGTAATCGCCATTCAAATGGTGACCCTCCAAATTCCAGTTTTACCCTCGTCCCCAACATCTGAACCAAAATCAGAAAATACCTACCAACTTCTGAAGAAATACAGCAACTGAATATTGATTTTGAAAAAGCAAAGAAATCCGTTTCCATTGATGATGCTTTTGCTGCAGCTCTAGCTGGATTCTCATCTTTTACAAAACCCAATGATGAATTTCCAGTTTTACCCCTTGAATTGACTTCAATTCCTTCTGAATCCTTGAAACCAACTGTTCCAGTTGATCCTGTTTAAATCAAGAAAGTCAAACTAAACTTCACAAAACTTTAAAAAGCTGAAATTTTTCTAATTGGAAAACTCACCTTGTCTGAAAGAGATAAAAGACAACCATTTATCAATCGGGCCATGTTTCCCAGATAGAAAAGTTCTTCTGTAAAAGAATTTAAGAAATCTTGGAAGTCTTCTTCTTTTGTCATACCAGGGTCATATGGATTAACCATTGGTGCAAACATTGCTGCCCCTGTATATATGGGCTATGGCTGTTTCTTTTTGGATTACCAAAATGTAGTTTAGTATAAAGTGTTTTGCTTCTTTTTTTTTTTTTTTTTTTTTATGTTTTATGTGCCTTACATTATGTTTATTTCTTCATATTTATTAAATAGGAGGTGGGAGTGAAGAAGTTCCAGTCGTGCTTTACCCATAGTTCAAGAGAGAAGCAACTGTTGAGCCTCTGTTCTCCTCTGTTCTCCGTTCAAACAGGTGTGATTATTTTAGATTTGATCAAATATTTATTTGGTTTTAGTTGTGACACTTAAGTTTATCCTCTGTTCTCCGTTCAAAAATATTTTAGTTGTTTGATTGTTTTGTAAGTTCCTGCATTCCTAAGTTCTTTTTTGTTGAAAAACAGGAAAAGATAAAAATAGATGTGATTAGTGCTTAAATTATAGATGATCCTCAACCAATCTCGAGATAAAGATACAAAATGCCAGATAAAAGAAACAATTGTCGACTATAATTTATTAATGTTCTCGACCCACCCCTTATTTGCGATTTTAATTAAACTAGTGGATTGTAGATAGACTCTACCATTTCCGTAAAAAGAAAAAACAAACGTATAAAGTAAATGACAAGATATTATGAATAAGCTCATCTGGCAAGCTGCTCAATCTATCTTCTTCTACCATTCTCTGCTCAATGTATAAAGTACATACAATCTTAGTTTTCTTGTGATTCCAGTCAGTATCTAACTTTCATATCCATCTTTGTTGTTGGCCGAATAATAATCTTCCTTCTCTCTTGGCTCCACAATTACAATCTGCACTTAAAATGAAATTGATAAGTAAGAATACTTCTTATGCATGTTAAGTCCTAATATAGACTAAGCCAACTAAATATATAGCACATGCTAGGACAGAACAGCAATAATGCACATCTTGACTTTATTAAGGCTGTTTGCAAGTTTGATGACTCTTTTAGCTAGTGGATAAGTGTATGATTCTTATATATTCTGACCACCATAGATTTCATATATAATGTAACCACGCTTTTTTCTCTTTTCTGCAAATGAAATTAAGAATTCAAAAAGATGACATAATTCTACATCCTATGACAAGTTTTTTCTTTTCCACCTATCTGAGAACTTATTTTTGCACTTGCAATACAAGTTATAAATACCCAGAATAAGTTAATAAGCTTTATGGTAAACCTCCATTCAGGTTTACCGATGTGATTAAAAATAAAGCTTAGTATTGCCTTTGGGGTTATTTTCGTTGACTTTGTTTGTTAGGGTCTGTTTGTAATAAGCTGTTTGTCTGGGGGCATTTATGTCTTTCTTAATAAGTGGGTGCAGGAGGTAAGTAGTCAGTTTGGGGTTGTTAGAGGGTTTAACTTGTTTTTTTGTTCCTTGGGAGATGCTGCCATCTTGAAAGGCAGAAATTAATATAATTAATCATTCAATTGATTCGTCTTTGTCTTTCAGGCTTGGAAGCATCCATAACCTCTCGTGTTCACATAAATTTTCAGCAGAATATTATCTTAGTGTCTCATGTTCCATGTATTTTATTACGCATAATCATCATTATTGCTTTTTTTTAAGGAATCAATGGGTTTGCATGTATTTTGTTATGTAAAAATATATTCACAAAGGAATATCTATCTTTATATCTATCTTGGCTATTGACTTTTTGGCTATTGATTCCTTAAAAAAAGCAATAATGATGATTATAACAAATAGGTAAATCACAAAATGACACCTTTTTAACGGTTACAACAAAATGACAGTTTTTTTTTTTTTTTTTTTTTTTTTTTTTTGCGAAAATAGGTAATTTTTTGGTAAAGGTTGAAAAGGTGGTCATTTTTGTGATTAAATCTAATGATTAATATACCCAATGAGTATATTAATTTGACAATAGTAGGTTGAAAAGGTTGCAAATGATTAATGTAGTAAGAGTGTGATGTTCCTATTGCATGTAATGTAGGTTCTAGTTATAGTCGTGCTCAAATTCTTTTAAATTTTGCAATAAATTTACTTATTCTAGATGAGTGCCACCATGTTCTATACATCTCCATTCTAAAATGTTGTTCCTCAATACATCATAATTCTGTTTTTGTTCGCACATTCCTTTGCATTACAATAATTATTGGTTCTTTTCTTGAAGTGATCTCAAAAGGATATCTTGGAAGGTATACTCGCACCTGAGTTAGGGAATATCATACAATCTTGGTGAAGGTGAATTTGACCTTCTTTTGTCTCTCTCATGTCTTTTTCTTGATTCAAGTTTCTTGTCTCATCATATCTATTTTGATTCAGCCTATTGACATGTTCAGATTTCCCTTTCTTTTATAGAAGAATCTTTACCATGTCTCTTTTCATGTTCATTTTGTTTGCCCCTGGTTTGCTTTTCTCTTTTCTGACCGCTTTACCCCTGGTTTGCCTTTCTTTTATTGAAGAATCTTGAAGTGATCTGTGCTCTGTTTTGTTTGCCCCTGGTTTCATTTTGTTTTGGATTTATATGGTAAAATGACGAATTTGCCCTAAATTTTGTATTTTTAATAGAAATTTGATAAGGGCCTAGGGGGGTGGGGGGGATAAGATGGTCATTTTGCGATGATCTAGCAACAATTTTTTTTTGATATGGTCATCGTTTAGCCTTGATCCTTCATTTGTCCACATTTATGTATTTTTTGAATAAACCACAATGACAAAGTTTTGTAATATATTTTTGGTCAAACCAAAACTAATAAGTTATACCAAAATTAATAATGTATATAGATATTATTATATATTCAACTTAAAAGTTTAATTTTATAATGAAATATCCGACTAAATGTACATATTTAGTCATACACCCATACCAAACCACCTATTACAATGACTTTTTCCCTATTACAACAACAATAACATTCAGTTTATAAATTAATATCAAGAAATAAAAATTTTATTTAAAAAACAAACCTTTGAAAATGACATTGTAACGAGTAGGAGTGCGTTCTTGAACCATAGTATTACTTCCAATCTCGGGTTGTGAATTATCCGAATCTAAAACAACAATTAAATTAAACAGAAAATATTTAGAAAAACATAAAGAGAATCAAATCAAGTAAATGATAATGTGAATGTCACCTGTAAGATTCATTTGGATATTTGAGGTCCCAGATAAAGTTCTGTTTTTTATTAAAAACTGTAAGCCAATCTTTTTTTGTATATAAAGACACCAAATTATATCATAAAATTAAAAATTACATACATAGAGTCGGTTACTAGACAATCAGCCAGCCATCCATCTGAAGATTGTTCCAAATTTATATCATAACCAGATGCAGATGCAAACATATCATCTGAAAACACAAACCAAAAATTAACAAAACATGGCTTCATTTTTTTCTAAACACCATTTACACAGACAACATTTAGGAAAACAAAAATAAAAAAAACATGGCTTGGTTGTAATTATGAAGATTGATTACAACATTTAGTATCTATACTCAATCTATATGCATGATTAAGATGGTCATATGACAAATAACTAACATTACAAGAATAAATATTATCCATCTCCAACATTTACCTCCACAATACAATAGGCACAATGAATATACTTTGAAATGTTAATGACTTCATTTTTTTATTAATAGATTATATAGCATAGTCACTTGTGTAAACATATTGAAGCTCTATCTTATTCTTTGCTATATGTATATCACTTAGAATTTATTTGATTACTTTCTATCCCTTCCAGTTCTTGTTTATTCCAAAGGATTTATTGTCATCCACTTCTTCTTACTTGGTTATAGCTAGTCATTATCTAAGTTCTGAATAGTAGTTATATATTTTGTTGTAGCTAGTCATTATGTCAACACGTAGTGATAGAGACTGGATGTACAAAAGGTTAGATCATGGGTATCTTAGCACAACATATCATGCATCCGTCAAAGGATTTCTGGATGTTGCTTTTTCTAATGAAGCAACCGTTGATGGGGATTATATTAGATGTCCTTGTTCTAAATGCAAGAACAAGTCTTATAAAACAAGAGGTGATGTAGAGCTTCACTTGTTACAAAGCGGTTTCACTCCTAATTACACAACTTGGTGGGCACATGGTGAAAGAAATACGATATCTCAGCATGAGGAAGAATCTTCTAATCCGATGCAGGATCCGATGGAAGATGATGATGATGATGATGTTAATGGGTGTACACAAATGTTGATGGATGTAATGGAGGAACTCCCGAATCCAACTGCCAAGGGGTTCTATGATATGTTAGAAGACGCTGATGAACCTTTGTGGGATAGATGTGAAAATTATTCAAAATTACAAGCTGCAACAGAGTTGTTGCATTGGAAGTCAGAATACAATATATCTGAGGATGCCTATGATCACATACTTCCTGTAATTAAGCGGATGCTACCCAAAGGTGAGAAACTAGTTGATAACTTCTATGAGACGAAGAAGATTTTGAAAATAATTAGACTCCCAGAAAAAAAGATTCATGCTTGCAAAAACCATTGCATGATATTCTATGGGGCAGATTCTGATTTGACGAAGTGTCGAGTGTGTGATCATGATCGATACAAGAGTGGCAGACTGCCTTATCTGGTTATGAGGTACTTGCCGATTGCTCCTAGACTCCAAAGGTTGTATTTGACAAAAAAGACGGCAAAGCAAATGACATGGCACTATGAACATCAGACAGAACCGGGTTTGATGGTCCGTCCAAGTGATGGTGAGGCTTGGAAGCATTTCGACTCAATGCATCCAGAATTTTCAAGTGAACCACGGAATGTTCGCCTTGGGCTATGCACCGATGGGTTCAGTCCAAATAACTCAAATACAACCCCGTATTCATGTTGGCATGTATTCCTTTCAATTTATAACTTGCCTCCTTGGATGTGCTTAAAAGAACCATATGTTCAATTAAGCATAGTTATTCCTGGAAAAAAGAGCCCATGTCAAAATATAGATGTGTTTCTCAGGCCGCTAATTGACGAGTTAAAGATGCTATATACAGACAG